ACCAGTCCAATTCCCCTCGATGAGCAATCTATTTGCGATCGAGTTTCACCCGCCTTATCTTAATCTTCTAGTTGCCAATACCCCCTGGATGAGTTAGACTACTATCCATTCATCAAGATTTTGAGTGCACTAGATAGAAAGATGTCCAAAATGCATTCAGAATCTTGGTGGATGGCGTAGTGCAACTAGGCCCTTATTGACTCCCGTCAGTTTGCAGGCAGCCCCATCTTGAAAATGTTACGCTTGTCCAGCCAGGAAAGTCATGGCTTCGAGTCTTGCTGCACTCAACAATCTACATGTATACGGATAGAAAATACGTCAGCTGATGTGAGCATCCCTTGATAGTACCCTCCCCGTTGGCTCGATTCTATTGGCGGGGAGCATCCAGCATCCCATCACATCACATACAACACTGTTAGATCCAATGACATGAGTAACCCAAATAGAATGCACAGTCATTTTATCTGTATTGGATTCCTATCGGGAATGAGTGCGCAAGTAGCAAATGACTCTTTAACTCCACATGCATGGAATCTGAGACCTGGCGGACCAAATATTAATGGGGACGGACCAAACCACCCACCGGACTTGCCCTGTTCCTAGACGAATATGAAGGCAATCACCTTCAGAAATTGGCAGAAAAAAAGAAGATGGATTTGTAGTTAGGTCTGTATTTCAACACTTCACGCTTCTGCTAGTGGACTGCAGTTATGGCAGGGCTCAATGAATCTGGCTACAATCAGCTTCCGAAATTGCCAGGAAAAATCCTGCTCAGAGTGGGCCCTGAGCTTCAGCACAGCTACCGTAAGGAGAAGAGGGGTGGGGAGGGTGGGGAGGGTACCTTTATTGAAGTCCAGGGCACACTGACTCCATGACTTTTTCTGCCAATTTCTGCAGGCGATTGCTGTCAGGCACAACACAGAAAACCAGCAATCGGGCACAATGCAGAAGAGGCAACAACTGAACATAGAGAGGCAAGTGTTTGCAGAGAGCACGCACGCAGGAACTGTGAAGAAACAGAGCAACGAAACACCTAACCATGTGTACACCGCACAAATGTAGCAAAAGACCAGTATCACAGACAAATGTATCGCAGCAGTGGTATGATGAAAGCACAAAATATTGGGAGGACACATCTACAATAACGGTTACCACAAACGACCACATACAGCATGGGAACACTACCACCTCAACGGGTCGATAAAAGGTTGAACGATTCCCTCCACGTTGATGTGTATAACTTTGAAATGCAAAAGATCAAATGACTCTTGTATTCCAAGTCAATCTTCCATACTATATTCAAATTTGTTTGAGAATTTCACCAAGACCCTCGAGCAAAAGTTGTTTGCATTGAAATTTTGTACAACATACTTTATTCTGATTGTTGAAAATCTCATTTTTGATTCTTACACATTTTTCTTTTTTACTGTCTGAGCGATTCCTTTTCTCAATTGATTGTCGATTCGTTTTTCTGATTTATTGTCCTTTCTGTTGATTTGTTGGCGGCTTAGTATTTCCTATTTACTGTCTGAGTGAATTTTTCCTATTGATCGTTGATTCGTTTTGACAATTTTCCTTCCTTAATTTTTTGTGTCATACAACTTTGCTAACGTTTCTCAAACCACGGTTTGAGATTCTGATTCGAAAATCCTTTATGGATATCTAATCCTAAATTTTGTACGATCTTTCGTAAATTTCGTCATTCCAATTTGGATAATCAATTCTTATCGGATCTTATCTTCAATTACATTTTAATTCTGATTGACTTTTCAAGTAATCTTTTCAAATAATTTTCTTCCCAAACAATTAATCTTCGTACGTTTTGGTAAAGCAAAAGGGGAAGGGTTGAATAAGAGGTTGGTGGGAAGTGGGGGGCAGAAGGATCGACAACATAGAGTGGTAAGTCTAACCAGGAGGGTGGGGTGGGACGACAGTGGCCGGTGCTGGAGCATTTGCTCTGTGACCAGGGGGGGTTTGAGGCCATTGAAGTTATGCCGAGGGTGGAAGGCATAACCATCTCGCCCGACGTAGTTGTTGCCGGGGCAGTGACCATGTAACCTTTTGGAGGGGCTATACAATTAAGAGAGGTGTCGAGGGGGGAAGACACTCTCTGTCCGTCAGAAACAGTTAGATCAGTACTGGGGCAGTTTGTGTTGCCTTGTAACCCTAGCTGGGGGGTATGAGATCTAATGATTTATGGTACGAGGACTGAAAGCTTGGTCGACGTATCTTTCATTAGTGACGAGGGTAGGAGTTGGATTATTAGTGGTTGTAGTTCTTGACCTTCCTCCTTTTCGTTTTTTTCATATGGAGGGAGAAAATCGGAGGTAAGGTTTGGAAGTAATTTTGGGGGGGCCTCGCGTAGTAGGGGAAGGGTGACTCATGGTGGTAAGTCTACCAGAAGGACGGGGTGGGGCGACAGTGGCCGGTGCTGGGGCAGTGGCTCTGTGACCATGGAGAGGAGCTTGAGGCCATTGAAGCTATGCCGAGGGTGGAAGGCATAACCACCTCTTTCAACGTAGCTGAGGTTGGGGCAGTGACCCTGTAACCCGGTTGGGGGTTGGCAGCTAAGGAAGTTGTCGAGGGAGGAAGACACTTCCTGTCCGTCAGAAGACAGTTAGTTCGGTGCTGGGGCAGTTTGTTTTGCCTTGTAACCCTAGCAAGGGGGGCGTGAGAACTGGCGACTTCTGGTACGAGGATTGAAGGCTTGAGTGGCGGTTTCTCGGCTGTAGTGAGGGTTTGACTTGGATTGGTAGCGTTTTTAGATCTGATTTTCGTTTCTCCAATTTTCTCTATATTTTTCTCAAATCTTCTCGAAATTCTCAAAATTGAAGTGAGTGGGATAAGTAGATGGTGGGATGTCAAGCGTCCTATTAGTGAGGAGGGCTAGCTAGTAGGATGGAATTAGGGTACAGCAGCAGCGGAGATGGTGGCTCTGCTGTAGTAAGTCTTGCCGGAGGGAGGTAAAGAGGGTTGATGGCTGTAGTTTGATGTTGCAATCTTCCTTAGTAGTACTAATTTTTCTTAGCCATAGCCGGGTAACGGCCCCGGTATCTTAAAACTTCAAAAAATTTCAATTCTGTGTAAATTTCCATATGGGACGCTGGGCCCGGGTTCCCAGCACGTGTTGCGCCCCACGAATAGATTGGAGCTTTGTTCCCCCCCAAAAAAAAAAATAATAAATTGTACAACATACTTTTTCTCGATTTTTGTTTTTTTGAAAATCGAAATTCTGAAAACATCACCAAATGAAATGTCCCTGCCCAGCCTGCTATAAAAAAATATTTTTATCCTCGTTTTTTTTCCTTTCTCGGATTTGGTTGTGAATTTCGACAAGACCCTGTCCTTAGGGACATCTGTTAAAATTGGAACGATACAGAGAAGATTAGCATGGCCCCTGCGCAAGGATGAAAAAAAAAAAAAAAAAAAAAAAAANAAAAAAAAAAAAAAAAAAAAAAAAAGTTGTTTGTATTGCATTGCTATACAACTTTTTTTTTCCCGGAGTTTTCTGATTTATTTTTAAAATAAAAATTGGAGAAGTTCAAATACAATATATCATGGCTACGCCGGACCCGGACCCGGACATTTCCGAACATGGAACCGGACCCGTGTCCGATAGTTTCTGGACGTCCGGAATTCCGGACATTTCCGGACCTCCAGACATGGGGGGATCCGGACGGTCCGAATGTCTGGACAGGTCCGGAAAATGTCCGGAACATTAAAAAAAAAAAAAAAAAAAATCTGAAAAAAAAGTATGTTATGCAGAATAACAATGCAAACCACTTTTGCCTCAAAGTCATGTCAGAATTCCTAACCAAACTTGAGTTAAAAGTCAAAAAGGTAATGAATTATTCATAATAAAAAACTTGGGGTTGTCTAATAGATTATTATAGAAAGAGAGCATGTCCGGAACCCCCAAAAAAGCATAAACGGGCCTGAAAAACCCTCAAAACAATTTTGGGGGCTTGGCTCCTCAATGGGGAAGGGTCCTGGACCGTTTTTTTTTTTTTTTTTTTTTCGAAATTTGGCGGATCCGGACCGTCTGGACGGGACGTCCGGATTCCGGGCCAAATCCAGGATCGTAGCCATGCAATATATGTATATGTACATTGTTTCGAGTACAACCTACGTACGTTGTATTTGACTTGTATTTGACTGTACGTTCTATTCAAGAAAAAAAAGAGCTATTTCTAAAAGTCAGATTTCCGAAGGTAATTCGAATAGAACGTACGTACATTTCCTTTCGGGGTAAGAAGGTAGAAACAAATGTTCCTACTCTATTTTTTCCCACGGGCTATAGCTGGCCCGAGCGCTGGTGGTTCAACGAACCGCGCTCTGGTCGTCTCCATCTCGGACTGGTATATGGGCCAAATGTGCGCTCCGCGATACGCCCGCCGTCCTGGCTGCGCCCCCACGCCCAGCGTGGTATCAGTTGTGAGACCGAGACGACATCCTTGAGATATCATCGTCGAGCTGACCGGCCCCCGGCAATTCAGAATCATTTTGTTACTTCTGTTGATCTGATTGGTGCACCAACTGAGCTACCCCCTCGGGTAGGCCCGTTCTTTTCCGTGAGCGGATTCCGAACCCTCTTCCGAACCTGCCGCACCTTCCGTCGAGGCGGCGCCCGTGCGGTCAAGGCCGAGCGAGAAGCGGTTGCCGCCCTGCACACGTTTGAATCAACGCCTGGTCGCCCCACGAACGACCAGGGGCTGTTACCAGTCACTAGATAGCCAATTGGCTGGCCACGTACATGACCGGTCGGTCTCCGAAAGACCTGACCTGGTGGATGCTGGCCTGGCCGCTAATTACCTGGTGGTGTGAGCAGTCTCCTCCTGCCACGTGGCGTCGTTCCGGGGCACCTCGAGCCGTCGCCCTCTCCGGGGGAACAAACGAGGCCTCGCCCGTGGGTGGCCTGGCAGCCCGTGGGCGTGGGGGGGACGGCGGCGACAGCCGCGAACAGTGTCGACGGACTCTTGTTGCGCTTGACGGCGGAGCGTTGCAAGCGTTGGGCCTCGCTGGACTACTCTCCACATGCACCAAAGACAAAAAATATGACTCTGTATCTTTCCATGTTATAGCGTAAGATTCGTTCTCATTTTGCACATTTGGAGAGTAGTGCACCGAGGCCCGTTGTCAAGGCGGGTCGGCTGAGCTGCATCCCGGACGGACCAGCTGGACTCCAGTTCTCGCCAGCTGGATTACACTGTGTTCCAGCTGGTCCCACGGGAACTGGACTGCGTTCCCGCTATTGCAGGTGGTTTATTTTTTTATTTTTATTTTTTTAGCAAGTTGCCACTCTGATGACTCCCTTGAGCCGTGTGGCGGCCAGGCCTCATCCGGACCTGCTGATGGGGATCGCGATGGCGAGAGCGGGGTCGGGGGCGCCGATTGCAGTCCGTCTGGGTAAGCAGCTGATCGTCGACGCCTCTCCCCTCCAGACACGTGTCCAGCACCACCGAGAGGCGATGCCGATCCCGATCCAACGGCTGACGTGGCACGACGGAGAACAGGCGTGTTGCCGAGCGTCGATTGCGATCTCGGCGAGGATCTCGGTCCCGAGCCCTGTCCTTCCGACGCCGAAGGCAACGAACTCTCACGTCCCGCTTCGTCGTGTTGATGCGTACTGCCTTGCGTCGGGTTACGGAGACCGGGGTGTCGCGACCCATCATCCTCGCGAGATTCACCCACCCCCGCAGCATGAGCAGTCGATTGCGCAGAGGAGGAAGCTGGGGCTGCCGCTGGAGACGAAGCATTCGGGAACTGTCATCTTTAGGACAAAAAAGGGCGGGAAAGGGAGCATTGGCCAATCTCCCGCCAATCAAGCGCAGCAACTCTTGGGCGCCACGAGAGCCAGCTCGGGATGTCTTCATGGATGCACCTGGTCGCGATCCACGTGGAGGTTTGGTTCGTACTCGGTGAGGAGAAACAATGCTGCGGCCCCGGTGCATGGCTCGTGCTGGCAAGGTTCCCTCCTTTCTCCTTCTCCATCCTCGTCGTTCTCATCTTGGACGCCATCGCCATGGCCGTCGGACAAGCTCAGAGATCGACACGTGGCTTGCGGCGGATCGTTGCGTCGTGGTAGGATTGAGGAGGAGCACGGGACGGCGAATATGAATGTGGGTTCGGTCGCAACGTGTATGACGCCAGGCCAGGATTTTCATCAGGTCGAGCATCGTCATTCCTCGGGAGGCCTTGCAGGCGAAGGGAGTAATCACCATACGACGGCGGATTTCGGTAATGATAGAGTGGAAAGTGAATCTCTGGAGCAAACAAGCCACCATCTCTCTGATGCACGGGAGTCCTGCGATCGGTCAAACACCACTGCAAGAGTATAGTCTCTCTCTCTCTCTCTCTCTCTCTCTCTCTCTC